CATGGTAGTCTGGTCGTTTGAAAAAAAAAAATGATTTTTTTGACCACCCTAACATCGAAATGGTCATCCTAATGACAAAATAAAAACGAAATTCAGTTCAAATATTTTGCAATAAAACAAACTACAATTTTTATGAAATTCTGAAAACCACTATATCGTTTTGTTATGGAATGGCTGTATATGTCGGAGGTATACAATTGTGTTAACACTATTCTTAACTCAACGGAGTCCACTTAAAGATAGATCAACGAGCAAAATTTGACTGTACCTAATATTAAAGATCTGTTTCCGTACTTGCTGCTCTGTAAGATATTTTCTTACAGAAATTTACAGAAAGCTGGAGCAACCTATAGCAAAAGCATAAAAGCAAGTACGGAAACCGACATATGAGGACACTTTTCGTTTTCTGCTGCTTTTGGTGTGCTTCTCCTCTTTTCTGTTTACGTAGATTTTTGAGCTGGCTGATCAAACTCGCTTATGAAATCATCGTCGCACACAAAATGTGATTTCATTGACCACTGATAAAATACAACAGATAGTGATGACAGCTCGCTTTTTGTTAATTTTTAAATTAGCAGTTGAAGGTAACGCTCTGCCCTTTTGAACTACGTCTATGAGATTGAGCAAATGTTTTTGAATGACCCATCCTATTAGATAGAGCAAATATTTTTGAATAAAACATCTGACATGACAAATAAGAAACACCGATGTTATTTCAGTTTGAAGTTTTACTTCCATTGATCTGAGTGAGAGGCGTGGGAAGTAGTAAGCCCCCTTCTCTTACAGCGCTTATGAGATTGAACAATTCTAGATAGAGCTGGAATTAGGGCGTAACAGGTTTTGTAAACAATGACTTCTCTCGTCGATTTCTCGAAAGTCATGGCTCTCCCTGGCAAATTGACGTCACCATCGAGTAGGGGAAGACTTCCCCTACCCGATGGTAATGTTTGTTTGTGAAGGCGTGTCTTGAATTCCTAGAAATCAACGAGTGAAGTCATTGCTTATAAAACCTGTTACGCCCTAATTCCAGCTCTATCTAGAATTGTTTTTGAATAATTTATCTGATCATATTAACTTGACAAGATGCGAAACTCCGAAGTTATTTCAGTTTAAAACTTTACTTCCATGAATATGAGTGAGTCTAGGAGGGCGGGAGAGGCTGTAGAAAGCCTCTCCCCATCACCATCTACGTACATTATATAGAGCTATTGTTTTTGAATAGTTCATCTGAACATACCAAATCGATAAGATAAGAAACTCCGAAATTATTTAAGTTTGGAATTTGACTTTCATTGGCACAACACTGCCGGGCAGGAATAGTGATTTTTTGGCACTTAATTCTAAAGATTGCTCTTTGAACAGCTATAGCTACTTTTTTCAGAGACATTCTAGCCCCGTACATCAACGTGTTTATTCCAGTTACGGTGGGGACGTAATTTGTGATTAGCCAATGTTCCTTTCAAATTGCATCATTATTTATGAACGGTTCTTATATTTGAAATGACGTTTCACATTTATGTAGTGATGGCCGATTTTAATTCGAATAATCCATCAATCGATTAACACCAAAAAGTAAAATATTTGTAATCGGTTATATCAAGCCGATACAAGCATTAACTGCTTCAGAGGATCATCACCCATCGTTTAAAACTTGTGCTACACTCTCATTGGTGGAAAAATGACAGCACAATGAACAAAAAAATAATCGTTCAGTTGTTGATCGAGTAGTTTCAAAATGGGAAATCTCTGATTTTGGTGTGATTATTTTGATAAAAAGCGTAAAATTTCATTTCTACCGAGGAGGAAGCATAACCACAAAATTACCAAGCATAATTCTAGACTAACATTTGAAAAGGGCGTAACTACAAAAATGTAAACAAATCATTTTTTGCCACATATAAAGAGAACAGTTCACAAACTACTCGATAAACACGAAAAAGTAGAAGAAATTATCGCTTCAAATCATCAAAAACGTTTCTTCTTACATGGTGTATTTCCAACTTTCAACTCTATGATGCATCTGGTTGTTACGCCTTGCACCAGAACTACGAATTATATTGTTTTAATATGCCAAACGTACTGATTCTGTAGTAACTAGTCACACCCGATTCATTTGAAATGCATCCGATTGATATTTCACGTGTAAACAACGAACAAAAAGAAGACCAACAAATCCCGAGGGTGTATTTCCACGGCGTATCACCAGTGTTGGAAGTTCAAAGGATGGAAGATCCGGGGCGTAACAACATGTATGAAATTATCAGGGCGTATGATGTTTTATTCTCAATTTCACGACAAAGAAAACTTTTTGTGTGTTTTTAGTGATGCATGATGATAGATTACACTATTAATTATATGTCACCTCGGCGTAGTGGTTAGCATCCATACCTCTCACGCCAAAGTCACGAGTTCAAATCTCTTGCATATTAAAACAATATAATTCGTAGTTTTGGTACAAGGAGTAACAACCAGATGTATCATAGAGTTGAAAATTGGAAATACGTAATGTAAAAGGAAACGTTTTTGATGATTTAATATTATATTTTCTTTTACTTTTTCGTGTTTATCGAGTAGCTTGTGAACTGTTCTCTCCATATGTGGCAACATATGGTTTTTTTACATTTAGGCTCTTCCGCCCCTTTCAAATTTTAGTCTAGATACGCCCTTTTCAAATGTTATTCTAGAATTCATTTTTCCGACTGTTTCATTTTAGTGTTATTCTTTGGTACATTCTTCGACAAAATATTTAGGTACTCTTTGGACTATTCTTTTACATCATTGTTGCATGATTCAAGCAAAATAGCTGTTCCTAGGAATAAAAATGCAAAAAAGTAGGTTTTCTCATACTAATTTCCATTCAAATTTCAAACGCAATGTTGAATGCCAGATGTCAACCAATTGTTAACTTCATTTAATTATAAAAAAAAAAATAATAAAATGTCTTGAAATCTAACCGACTTTTTCAGCTGTTCAAAAACCCGGTAAAATTATACCAACTTCGGTGATCTGAATTAAGTATGAATGCTTAGAATTATGTTGGAATTCTCTTGTAAATTCCCTAGAACCTCTCCTCAGCATTGCCTAAGAATTCTTACAAAAATCGCAACCCAGTAAAGTTTTGAAGTAAAGTAGGGCCCCTTAAATGGGTAAAAAAATAACACATTAATGAGTAACGTTTACCCACTAATGGGTAACAATTGCACATTTATGGATATTAATTACCCATTAATGGGTAATTTTTTACCCATTAAATGGGATAGCCTACTTTATTTCAAAATGGGTGAAATTATTCACATTAATGGGTACTTTCCAGTAACAGTGTACACGGGTGCAGTGGCAACAACAAGCGCAAGTCATTGACAGCATAACATAATTTGTTTGTAAACAAATGTACACACTTAAAAAAATTCATGTAAATTTAGGTGTTCTGAGACTGACATATACGAGCGTCATTTTTGACATAAAATTGAGTCGTAATAGACCCAAAACTCAGCTCAATCAAACGTACTTTTCGTCGAGTACCGAACTTTTCAATCTCGGAGCACTTAATTTTACATGACATGTTTGTTTACGTCTCATCCTTTATGTCAAAGATGGATTCCGTCACGTGTAAAATTAGGTATTTCTAAGTGTGTAGTTACACCTGAAATCTATACCCTTTTTGTTCCTTTTGATTTGTTTTCCGTCTAGCTGTTTTCCGTATCCTTATGCTACTGACGCCAGGGAGGTAGCTCCCACACCTGGACCCTACCTATCAACCCATCAACTCATGGGTCGGGGACCAACGGCTTTACTTCCCTTCAGAAGCCGTGATCAGAGATGTTATGCCTCAGAAAATCCCGACGACGCCGACTGGAATTGAACGCAGGCCCTTCATTATCTATACCCTGAATAATCTTGGTGCACGGTGGTGCAGCCACACCGCAAAAGCAGAATCTACAAAACTAGAACAATATTTGAAAATGGTCTATATGCAAAACGTAAATAACTACTTTCAACGTCGATTTATCGAGAATTAAAACTTATTCAATCAAGCCAAGTGGTATAGAAAGTCTCATCCTTCTAGATGGTGTAGTCCGTTTATGCGAGTATGCTATGATTCATGAGATATCGACGTTTATAGTTATTGTTTACTATATGCATTGGCCGTTTCACGTGTTGCTTATTAAGCCTCTCATTGAACGCAATAAGACATGTTTGCGCCGATTTAATCCGGCCAGAACACTTTCGGTATCGTAAAATATCAAATGAAAAAAATATCTAATAGGTACCTAATATATAAATGGATGCGCTGCATTCACCGCTCTTCTCAAACCCTGACAACGCCCACACGAATGTTTGCCTTCTGTTTTATAAAAAAAAAAATACGTAATTTTTTTGACAAATACCTACCTGAACGGCTATCTAGTTTATGGATACGGTCGACAGTTTAGGCCCTCTGCTTTCCAACTGGTTTTAATTTTCATAAACAATTGGATGCTGAACCTGGTATCATAGGGTATAAATCATAAGGTGTCCGTTGAAAACATACAATTTGGAATACTTCGCTTCCGTTACATAAAAATCACCCAACTGGACGCTAGACTGTTCAAAACATTGTCGGCTTTTAGACAACACTGGCACTGGCAAAGCTCAACAATGTGCGCAGCAATTTTCGGTTGTAAAAAACGGCAAAGCGGAAGATAAGTCGTGGTAATCCGGTTGCGGTGAATACAATGCGGGTTGTATAAAAGACTCCCAACAAGAAGAAACACAACCAAAATATGCAAAGGCTTAATTACCAATTAAGAGAAATCTGTCGGCGTAGTGCTTGGTTGATGCTGTTGATTCAGCAACAGAGACAGAGAGAAACAGTCAAAAAGGGGGGGGGGGAAATCCACCCCTTGCAGAAGACAACAAACAGTCAATTAATTATGTATTGTTTTTCCGTTGCTGTTTTCTTGGTTACGACAAAGTTTCCAACCCTTACTAATGTGTTTTTCCTCTTTCCCAAAATCTAGATAAGACTCGTCATCCGTCGGTCACCCGTCGGTGCGCTCGTTGGTGTCCACGTGCTGAGAAGATCCGTGGTGCTATTCTGGAAGCTACAGACCCGTGTCCGTAGGCTATTAGAAGTGTTGTTTCGGTGACCGGAATTTCAGTGAATCGTGCAAAAGAATAGAAGGCAACGTCAGTGTGGTCTCCGTACCGGAAGTGCAACCCTCGGTGGACCAATCCCCGCAACTGTTTCCAAATTATAGATTGAACACTACTGTACTGAGACAGATATAGCTTTGGACCGCGTCGATTCGTTCCGAATCCGGCGGAGATGGCCTTGTTTAGGGCCTACTACTATTTTGTGCTACTGTTGCTCTACTTCGGGGCCTTGGTCCAGAGTGGGGCACCGGTGCGGCCCGGTACGGGCAATCCCTCGCCGCGCCTTCCGCGAACCAGTGCCAGCCAGCTGTCAGCGCAGAACAACAACAGCACCGGAATGCGTAATTTGACCGCCAAGAACCTTACCGCCCAGCAGGGAGGACGTGGGAACTATAGATCAAGGTGAGTGCAAATTGGTGGGGCTTCTTGCATACAATACTAATTGAGCTGAATTATTCAAATCACGCCACACGGCTCGGACGTGCACCATGGCGAAGGTGTGAAATTAGATATGTGAATGTGCGATGCGTTCGGAATTGCGTATGCGGGACTTGACTGCCGTGAAATCTGAGATACCATCGAAGAGCAGTGAGATAAAGAGATTTTGTTTTTTTTTTGTGAAAGGGGTAATTTCGGTGGTTATTTTGGCTGATCGAGGTCAGGGCTGAGCTTTGTTCGGACTAAGTGCAAATCGATTCGAAATTTAGGTAGTTTTTAAAAAGGCTTTGGTTTTAGGATCAAATTTTACAGAGTTTAATGTGAATGTGTAATGTTTTTGGAATAGCAATAATTATCGAGGGATCTAAAAATACTTACCTCACAAGGTCATCAATGAGTGGATTAATGAGGTCTTCTGAAAAGGTATTGAAAATGATTTGTTTTATGATACGCGTTCCAAATAAGTACAATACTGCACACTTAGAAATAACATATTTTACACGAGACGTAAATCATGGAACGTAAACAAACATTTCATGTAAAATTAAGTGTTCTCAAACCGAAATATAGGCAAATCGACGAAGAGAACGTTTCATTGAGTTTATTTTATCGTTTCTTTCAACTGATTCTTATGTCAAAAGGGCCGCTTACATGTGTCGGTCTCAGGGAACCGAAATTTACAAGACATTTTTGCAGAGTGTGTCGTTCGTAGCACAAGTCAGCATGCCGAGAAAAATGCGTTTTATGTTTGTCTTGTACCATTGCTTCTTATGCACAGGGACAACCTTTTTAGATGTTTTTCCAAACTTTCTTAGAACAACCTTGCTGTGTTCATCCAGTTTTGTAAAATACAGGTCATTAATTACCATTTACACTAAAAAACTCAATTTTTATTAAAACGCAAATGGGACCGACTTGCTAAGTGCGTCAGAAAAACCAAGAGCGTTGATGCACACATAAAATTATCTTTGTATGCTAAATGGAAGTCAACTTCTGCACTTTTCATACCTTCAACTCTCTCTTACTCGATCCCTCCCCTAGCTCGATGAAAATCCAGGATACTTCAACCACTTTTCTAAAATACTGTTCCTAAGTTTAGTTCCATAGTTTGATATCCTCCCTAACTAGATGGTCCCTTCAATATCGAGTAAGGGAGAATTAACTCAACTCAAGATGCCTCTGATGAAAAATGTCAGTAGAAGTCTCAAAATACAGGAGGTACTTTTTTTGATTCTTTTGGCTTCATTCAGAATTTTTTTTTCTTACTTCGTCTGGAAGTTTCTTTCGTTTTCATTTGAAAGGTTCTTCAGAATTGTCAGGAAAATTTTTCTGACTGAATATGTCTTCCCACTACTCTCGAGAGTATTTTTTTTTTCAAGAAGCCTCTTTCAATTTGCCTTGGAAATTTATTCCAACTTTTCGCAGAAGCTAGTTCCATTTTATTAGGATGTTTCTAACAACTTCCAAGGAAGATCCTTCCAACTATTTTTTTCGACTTCCCCCAGAAGTGCTTCTGGTTTCCTCCGAAAGCTTCTTCCGACATCACCTTAGAGTTTATTTTTCAGACTTCCTTCAGAAGATTCGTCTGACTGCTACCGGAAGCTTGTTGCAATTCATCCTGGAAGCTTCGTCTGACTTCCTCCAAAAGTCCTACTGACTTGCAGGCTTGAAGGAGCCTCGCTCCTGAGTTTGAAATGAGGCGAGCGTAGCATTTTTCTGAGGAGTAGAATGCCTACTGCCAAATCATTCCGCTGAGCTTCAGAGCTTGTGAGCTAAGGAGGATAATATGAGAGTGAGGTTTTTTGCCATTCATGTTCATGTTTTCTATGACACGCTCTTACTCTCACTCTGGGTGAACTCTGAGCTTCTTGCGTCGAACAAAAAAAGTCATCCGAAGTCTCGAAAAGCTTTTTTTTTTTTTTTTTTTTGTCTTTATTTTAGAGATTTTTAGCCTGAGGCTAGTTCATCTCTAGTCTCGAAAAGCGCACCTCACGTAAAATCATCCTTTCGCTGAAGTTCACTCTCCCTCTCTCTCGAGGAGTTTTTGTTTAGCTCTTCCATATTCCTACCGCCACTCACTCGAGGTGAGGGCTGGCTAAACTTGCAGGACAATAGTATTTTAAAACCTCCAGTGAGTTTGAGGAGTTTCAGCAAGCCTGCTGACTTGCCCTGAAAAAATTTCCTGGCTACTTCAGGAAGTTCAACTGAAGTTGAATTTTTCTTTTGAATTGTTTCAAAATCACTTTTACTTCCCGAAAATGATGATCTCCAGGCAGATTCTGTCAACTTCCATCGGATGATTCTTCAAACTTTATACGGATTTTTCTTTCTAAAAAAAACCTCTCTTAAAAATCCAACAGCTTCCACTAGAAATTTCTCTTAATTTATTGATAGACCAACATAGATACAAATTCCCGAGAATGGTTTCCTGATACGTGTAATCTATTTTCAGTGAAAATGTATATTAAGAATGCTGGTTTTAGCTAGTTTTAGAACTAGCTTCTCTAGAGCATGAGCATGAGCATGATTGACCGCCCACATATGCTACTCTGATTTTGCCAGATCAGCGGTAATCTCACAGAGGACCAATAGACGACGCTGGGGATTAGCATTCATCCTCAATATAAAAAAAAATGGGGATCTCAAACTAGGCAATACCAGCGCAATACGCTGGTCAAGAAAGGAAGGCCGAGAAATCCTCTGCTTTTCCACGAGAAATCTCTGGGATGTTGGATAAAAGGGTTGGGATTGCAGCAGGATTCGTTTTCGTAAACGCTAAGCTGCATTGATGTCCTAACGATCGTATAACGCGAAGGAGCTTGGAATTGAACCCATGGTCTTCTGCTCAGTAAACAAAAACGTTTGCCACTAGGTAATTGAGCTCCTGGAGGGGTAGTCCCAGTTTCCCTCGAAAATGTTTACTTTGTAATCATTATTGGGTATTTTGCGGTAAGGCAAAAGAAAACACAAACGGAAAGAAAGGAGATTTGAAAGTTGGATGAAAAGAATGTTCAATTGTTGAAGAAAGTGAAAATTAAGATAATCTGTCTCAAAGGGGGAAAATCAAATTTTTAATTTATAGTGTCCTTCAGAACAGAGATTAATTGATAGACGGATAGGAATTTGAATTTAGTATAATCTGGAAGGAAGGGAATCAATATATGAAAGTAATTGTGAATTAAAAACTGCTCTCGAAAATAGACCCACAGTGGGAAACCCATAACCTTAGCCGCACATTAGAGCAACTCACGATGGACACCAAAATGTATGATTTGTGTGTTTATTTCTAAAAATTTAACTAATGTGAATGATATTTTTTTTTAGTTTTGAAGCTGTGCTATTTGCGCTATTAGCAAAGAGGTGTTTATTCGTCACGCAAAATTTTATGCCTCAGAAAATCCGGCGGTGCCGACTGGGATTGAACCCTGGACTGCTGGAGTGAGAGGTAATCACGCTTACTACTACACCACCGGCGCCGCTGATGTGAGCGGTTCCACGAACAAGTGGGAAATTTTTCCAGTTTTTATTTTTTGTATTTTTTGATTTGCATGAAACCTTGCATACAAGTTTTTGGGGAAGAAAAACGCCGTTTTGCATACTTGGTTCGCCATTTTGAATCTAGCCTTACTTATGAGAAGGGCCTATGAAAAATGCACATGATATCTTCAAAAAATTGTATCTCGGAAACGGTTTGTCCGATTGGTTTGGTGTCTTGGGCGAAGTTTTAGACAATTGTTGGTGTTATATGGAGAAAATATGCACGGTAAAAAAAAAAGTTTGGTATTTGTGTTTTGAACTAAAATATAAATTTTCCCTTTAAAGTGACATGTCAATAATTTTTTTATTATCCTTATGTTATAGCTGACTGAAAATGCTATCTAGTGCACAGTAGGTTGTTCTGGAGAAAAATAGGTTACAATGAAAAAAATTGTTTTTTTTTTAAATACAATTTTCAAAAAAGCTATTAAGAAAAGTCAAAAAAGTTTGTCACCCTAATTTTATGAAAGTACATCAAATTTGCAAACAAAAAGTACTTCGGTAACATTTTTCTAAGATGCACCGTTTAGAAGATATTACTGATTTAATATTGTTTTTTTTTTGATAACTTAATAAGTTTAGGTCCTTTTCGGATGTACTCCGTGTTTTTCCAGTTTCAAAAGTATTTTTTCGGAAAGATTGGAAAATTTTGAGTTAAAATGACACTGACAGCTTAAAGATTCGAGTGAAATTCTCTGCCTTAAAAGTATTTTGAAAAACAAGTTACAAAATCCCACTATCAGGAACAATGATTTCTTCAAATGATTTTTGGTGCGTTGTGCTGAAAACGTGCTAACAAGTATTAGATACAGGTAATCAGATACCAGTTAGCTGTACTACGTACAGTTGGTGATTGTAAACATGGTCTTTGTTGGAACTAGTCCACCATGGCCACGCTGGCCATAACGAGGCTAGCTCCGTCGTTGACCGTTCCTTAAATAATAAATAAAAAGAACGCAGTAGTCACCTTGCATCAAACTAGAGGGCTGCCGACTGATACCTCAATCAACAACCGCCGCACTCTTTATTCATTCCAGGTATATACAATTTACAATCTTCTTCAATAACAATATACCTACGCCAGCAAATCTACCTCGCTCCAACTCTCCAAACTCGTACCTGAAGGTTCGACGATACCTGAGCGTTCAACTCTTCCTATCTTCCAACAATCTTTACCCAGCATTCTATGATTTCTACCCGTGAGCTGTATAATAATGTCTGACTCGGTTCTGGATTCATCCAGTATCTACTAGGGAAAACCAAACAGTAAATGCAGAAAGGTTGCTAGTAGCATAGTGATTATAGTAATTTCAGCTCATAATCCTGTGTTTTTGAACGAGATCCAGTGTTGTTTGATAACATAATAATTGTAAAGGAAAGTGTAACACGTTTTGGTGCAAAGGTAAGTTTTAAATACACATTTTAAT